CTCGGGAACTGCCGAGAGCGCAGATGCCACGGACTGAGACGTCGTACGGGCTTCTGAAGCTCACTGAGGGCCCGAAGTCGCGAATCCCCCTTCGCTACAGAGTCATGATGTGATGTGTCATGCTGGAACATACCCCCTACAAGGGAGAGCTGCTGGCAGCACATCCTTCAATTTGGGGGCTTGTTCAGTTGAAAGAGCGGTCTGCGAAAAAAACGAAATGGCCCGAGTCCCAGGAGGTGTCCTACACCACGAGCATCAGTGGCTTGAAGAAATGCGGCAGGCCCTGGCGCTGGAGCCTCACTTGGAGGATCATGGGACTTAATAAGTAAGGTTGTAAGTACCCTAATTGGAGTTATAATTATAGTTACCTTATTTATAACCCTACATAGTTACTAAGTCCCATGATCCTCCAAGTACTTCAAGACTTAGGAGGATCAGGGGACTTGGTAGGTCGGGGGTCATAAGTAAGGTCAAGGCTACTATCACATTGCTCATCATCCCAGCGGAGGTACAAAAAGGCCTATTTACAAAGTGCTCTGATCCTTTAGGTAGTGGTTAGTGGGTGTGTGGGATAATCCCACTGAGTGTACTTACAACCTTCCTTTCTAAGTTCCCTGGCCCTCGTGGCTGCGGCAACAGCCATGCCTTCATGGTTTCGGGCATGCTTGCTCTGCACCCCAGCTCCGATTGTCATCAAGTCCCCGAGGCACTGGTGTGGAGTCGGGCCCTTGGTGCTGAAGTGGAGCTGTGCTGTATACTGAAGCCATGCGTGTACGCTGCCGGTCAACCCTTCGTCCTCCCTAAATCAAATAAAGATGTCTCCAACCTGACTGAAGCGCAGCAGAGGCTTCTTCGGAGCACGGCTTCTTCGACGGTGGAGATTAATTTTGCCACTTGCAATGTGCCTCGGCTCGGTGCTGTCTAGCTACATGAACATGTAGACTCCCAGGAGGTCCGGAACACCCTGCCTTAATCTGGCTGTGATGGCACTACTCTCTAGCAGCGGATGTCTTGCATGGGCCGGAGCGATCTTCTATGATGACTCAAAGGGAACGGAGTTGTTGTCATGACACAGCCCTAACCCTGACCAAGCTGGGCGGATGGACAAACCTGTGGGTCGAGCCCTCACAGCTCGAACTTGCCAGGCGAGGAGAGTTAGGAGGCCAGAGGAGCCCCAAACTGACCTCGCTAACGCACCAGAGCCCCAAACAAAAAGATTCCGAGCGGTACCCATGGTCTTACGCCGACTAGCACCTGTTGAACCTCGCCTGGCTTGTCCGAGTTGTGAGAGCGTAAAGATAGCTGCCACTGATCCATCTGCTTATGTCGATCGAGAACCAGGCGCTGATGGGTGCCTGTCAGCCTGGGGAGGAGGAGGACGAGGAGGCCATTGCAGCTTTTTTTGTTTAGGGTTCAAGGATATGTTTTTCCCTGCTATTCTTTACTGGAGTATAGCATCCTATAGCATAGTACAATATACCATTGTGCAATTTATCTTAATCTGACCTAACCCAATACTGCATAACATAGTCTATGGCATAGTATAGCATAGTATAATGTAGCATAGACAGTATGATGTAGTGTAATATGGCATAATGTAGTATGACTAGTCACTTAATATGACTTTCATATACCACCATATAATACCTGTAATATATGGCAAGAGTGAACTGTCAAGGATAAACCTCGTTGCAATAGCGGCTTCCATTCATGGCTTTGAGCAACAGCCGCAGGGTTCGGGCTCAACGATTCCGGCAGGAAGCGATGGTGATGATGGTGATGATGCTGGGGCGCAAGGTTGAAAGAAGCCTAGGACGGTGCAAAGGTCCTTGCAGACAACCCCTGTAAGCGACACCCTAGACCTTAAGCCCGTCGTGGGAGTTCCTTTGGATAATGGGTCGGGGTTGTTTTCCTTGCTTTGTCTGTAGTTCGACGGGGCAGGTTGTGATGCTCCAGGTTGTCAGACTGCGGACCTGTAATATAGAGGCCTCACTAATTGCCTATACTATTTTGGGGGTTCCTTATTATAATTAGAGTATAATGGCCCCAAAACAACCCTGCGCCTTTGGTTATAATCGACATCTGTCGTGGTCTTCTGTGTGTCCTGTTCTTTCCCCGGAGCAGTCTGGTCATGCATTTGTGCCGAAGAGCTGTCAGCACTGCGTTGCAGCGCGATTGTATCGGTTGGGGCTTCGGGGTCTTGAGGGTTGGGTTTTTCTGTGGAAGCCTCAGCCGTCACACAGGCTCCTCCCGGTTGAAAATTTCGGCTACTGTACCAGCAGTTCGAAACGGGCCCGCCCAAAAGAAACCTTAAGCACGAAGCCCTAAACCTGAAACCCTAAGCCCTGGCCCGTTGTCGTTTTGCCTTGAAGTCATAGGGACTATGGGATTATCGGTAAGGGGGGGGCACTCCCACATGTCGTGTGATGTTTCACCAAGCCGACTTGTAAACCCTAAACCACCTTACTTGGAGGATCATGGGACGTAGCAACTAGGGTTATAAATAAGGTAACTATAAGTATAACCCCAATTAGGGTACTTATAACCTTACTTACTAAGTCCCATGATCCTCTAAGTAACCCTAAAAAGACAGTGCAAGCCCTAAATTCCCTTCTTCCGACTGGTAAACTCGAAACCACTTTATCCCTACAAAAAACTCCTAAGCCCTAAACCCTAAACCCTAAACCCTAAACCCTAAATCCTAAGCCCTAAATTCCCTTCTTCTGGCTTTCGCCAGGCAAAGCTTCTCTGGAGTCCTGCGCTCTCCCTGCTTGCCAGAGCCTCGGTGGGTCAGAGCCGGGCCTTGGCATCATAGTAGAGTCGTTAATAATAATAATAATAGTAATAATGATAATAATAATAATAGTAATAATGAGAATAATAGTGATCATGTAGAATAGTATGGTAGGATGTAGAAGAATATGGTAGAAGACGGTGGAAGGTAGTAGAATATAGTAGAATCTAGCCATGATATATTATCCTCGTGGTCTCATGATCACGACATTCGCTGGGTTTGGATCTGATGATCAGGACGAGATGGGGAGATGCTCGATTGAGATGACGCAGACCAGCTGTCGTGCCACTCAGAGTGTCGGCTTCGGCTTCGGTCGATCTGGGTTTAGAGTGCTAGCTGGCGGACGAGTGGATAACTACCAGGCGTTCTTGCTTGCAAGCCTGAAGCAAAAGGGTTTACTCCGAGCGAAGTGGAACGCCTGTTGCAAAAATGGATCAACAATGGGTTTAGGGGTTTAGGGCTTCGGGCTCATCTTGATTTGCCGCTGCGGTCGTTTTAATTATCTGTGCCTAACATTCCATCTTGCCCTGGGGCGAGAATTGAGGCAATGTTCAGCTGAGCTGCCTTGAAGAGGGGAGCAAGGCGCCAAGCCCTCGCACTTGAATGATTGCGGTTGAGCCTTTGTTGTCCCACGAAGCTCGTAGCCATTAATCCAAAATGCCCCTCCGGGCATGGTGGCATTTGCTCACCAATCCGGGCAGTGACTGGGCAGTGCCATGAGCTTCTATGACAACGTTTTCAAAGTTTGCGATGCGTAGTAACGTAGTACTGATGCGTTAGTGCCCGCGGCAGGGGGCGGCCGGCAGTTGCAATGCTGGATTATTATCATTACTATTATTCTTGCTATGCTTCTTCTTATTATTCTTATCATTACTAAAAAATCATTACTATTACTATGCACTTCCATTCATCGGCCGGGAATCCCGTTCAGCTCTCAGACTGAATTCTACCTTGGCAGGTGCCCAAAGCTCGGTCAGCCTGGCTGCCCTTCAGCTGAGCAGGTTTTGACACTTGCAGGGTCTTTTGAGGTTGTTGTGGCGCATGTCCATTTCGGAGTGAACTCCTTAGATCACGTTGACCTTCCTTTCTTGGACGGACACGCCGCGACATGGACTCTTCCTGATTGGTGGGAGGTTTCCGCTTTTCAAGGTGCCCATCATGGCAGGCACCTGTGGATGGCGACCCTCGCTTTGTTTGCAGAAGAGGAGGAAAAGGGATGGCTGATGCCAGACAGGCGGGCCAGACGCAAGCCCGGCAAAGCTTCTATCTCCGAGTCTCCTAACGGGAATCCATCCCGGAGGCGCACGCAGGGAGCCATCCTAGGCATCACGGCGAGATCACTGCACTGGGCATGGGCCTTGGTGGGGATCTCTCTCCTCAAAGTAGCAGCACCGACGTGCATCAGGACGGGGCGCTGAAAGTGCTTGCAGACATGGTCCGTGAGGCTCCGGCTGCGTGTTGGTCTCGAGGAGACTGTGATTAAATCACGATAAATCTCTGGCTTCCGGGGTGGATTCACCTTCATTGGGGTCCGAGGCTGGTTTGACCAAAGGCACAAGGTGGCGCGAAGACTTCAGAAGTTGGAGGATGTTGGAGGATTGTCCCGGTTGAATGGCACGGAAGCCTTGAGAGGCCGTCGGAGGTGCGCCGAGCGCCGATCCGGATGAGGTGACTGGCCCGTCGGCATCACATCCTGGCGCTCTGTGCTGTTCAGCGGACCTGAGGCCCATTTCGACCTCGTTGTCTCGGCCTGTGTCAAGGGCGCGTCCAAGGCTCGGCGGTGAGGTGAAGATCTTGAGCCAAGTATTTTCTCCTCTGGTGACTAGCCACACCACAAGACAAAGCTGACGAGAAAGAGAGCCACGAACAGGCCTCGCAGATGGCTGCGCAGCATGCTCAGTGAGAGGTCGGCAGAGCTTGAGCTATGCCGGTGCAGTCGCCAAACTCGGTGTTCTTCCGGGTTCAAGCTGTTGCAAGCCTCAGTTTGGCCCCCCTCATCTTCAGAGGCCCCCACCCCACACCCCTGATAGGCCCGGAACGCCCAGAACGCTGTCGGAGCCCTCCGAAGGCAGGGACTTCCCAAAGCCTCGCCCAGCGCAGCCATGGCCGGTGATCCGGGAGCAGCGAGCAGAACATGATCCGCCGCGAGCGCAATGAGCGGCTGTCGGTTTCTGAGATCGAAGAAGGCGAGGTTCGCTCGCTGGCCATGCGAAAGGCCATCTCGCTGCTCCGAAACTATCTCTACAAACAGGAGAGCTCCATTCTGAAGTCCTGGTTCAAGCACTTTGACACCAACATGAACGGCTTCATCGAGAAGCGGGAGTTTTTGCAAAGCCTCTCCAAAATGACGGGCGAGGCTCGGGAGATTTCCGACGAGCTTGAGCTCTTAGACTCGGAGAGCATCAGCTTACGTGAGATCCATGAGGGAATGGCGAGCCTCTGGAGCCGCTTCAGGAAGTTTTGTGGGACGGCCTTCCTGAGCCCCAAGGATCCTCAGTAGCTGAGTGGATACACTTTACACCTTTTGGGATAAGATTACCCTAACCCTCCAGGTACCTACTATATAGGGTACTGGAGCCCCCAGGGCCCTATATAGTAGGTACCTGGGGGGTTAGGGTTACATACTATAATAAAACCGAAAGTGTACACTTTTTTGGGCTTATGAACCCAGCAACTGAGGATCTGCTGGCGAAGCTCCAGGGGATCCGCTTGGAGTCCGAGGAGGAGAAGAGGTCGAACCAGCGAAAGCAGGATTTGGGCCTCTCCAGCTCCCCGAGCCTGCCACTGAATCTCAGGGGCACCTGGAAGCAGTTTTTTTTTGGTTTTTCGGCTGCCATACCCTATATGAAACAGCTTTGTAAAACCATAATCTTTTTGCAAGGGTGATAAAAAAGCTCAGTACAGGAACATGCGCTTAGCCAGCCAGCCTTTGGTGGTGGACCGGGATCACTGGGAAGAGCGCTTGCCTCGCTGTGGCTGGGCCGGAGGCAACGAGCGGCTCCTCTTCGAAGCCCTGGACCTTCACGACGAGGGGCTGCTGGGACAAAGGAACTTCTTCTGGCTGGACGCGGAGGTCCGACGCTTCGCCTTGAAATGTGAGGCAAAGCAGAAGGCTTCCGAAGATCACAAGGTACGAATCGCTGCCAGGAAGAAGCGCCAAAAGGCCCTCACGGACTTCAAGGCTTACGTGAAGCGACACTTCGGGGACAGCTATCACGCCTGGCGTCGGGCACTTGACATCGATGGCACCATGAACCTGCAGAGAGCTGAGCTCTTCAAGGTCTGTCGCCACCTTGGCTGGAAGGGCGATGTGAAGTTGCTTTGGCAGGCCTTGGACTCGGATGGGGCGGGCACCTGCTCTTTGCAGGAGCTCGATGCCCGCTGTGCCCGGCAGCTGGCTCGCTTTCGGCGTTGGGCCGAGGTGAAGTTTGGCATCCGACCGGCGCATGCCTTGTGGAAGGCGGTGGACCGACGTAACAAGTACAGGCTTACGCATGAGAGCTTCCAGAAAGAGTGCCTGAGACTCGAGGCGGACTTCGAGGAGAAGGAGCTGAGCGAACTTACGCGCTGGTTGGATTGGCAGGAGAAGAAGGCCATCACCTTGGAAGACCTCCTTTTCATGGATCTTTGGAAGCCACCCGCCTACTTGGTGGCTCAACCGAATCCGGTGGCGGCAGAGGATATTCGGCAGATGTTGAAAGAGAAGTATGGTCATCTGCTCCGTGCTTGGCGGCAGGCAATGGACAAAGACAACTCCAACACCTGCAACTGGTACCTGGGTCCTTGTCGGCTACAATTTTACATTTTTGTTATAGCTTCGTTATAATCACACCCAATAAAGGCCCAATAAAGATTAAGAATGATCATGCTGAATATAGCCCCAACAAAGAGCCAGGTACGAGTTTCTGGCAGCCTCCCGGTCCCTGAACTTCACCGGCGACGTCGCGGGTGCATGGCTGCATTTCGACAAGGATCTCAGTGGAGCGATCTCCCTCGCAGAGATCGATCCCAAGTCCAACGACATGATGGTGGAATTCAAGAAGTGGGCCGACGGCGAGTTCGGCGGAGTTCGTGCAGCGTTTCGCGTGCTGGACAAGGACAAGTCCGAAACGCTGTCCTTTGCGGAGTTCCGAACCTCCGTGGTGAGCTTTGGCTTCACCGGTGATGAGGTCACCTTGTTCAGGTGTCTGGACAGCGGACAGGGGAAGCTCCACCCACATGAGGTGCATTTCCTGGACGACTGGGACACCACCGACCCAGACGCGGCTTCGGAGCCGAGCGTCGACTCGCTACAAACACGGCCTCGCAGCCAAGGGGGTTGGTCTCGAATGACCAAAAGCGGCAGACCAGGATCGGTGATGGAGTCCATTCTGGAGTTCTACACGGATGCGCCGGGACCGGGAAGCTACGAGCTGCCTTCGGCTTTTGCAGCGAAGCCGAAGACACCAACTGCCAGGCATTCTGGCACTTGGAGCTTTTGCAGCCGGCCGGAAGCCGCGTGGCTTCATCAGCTCAAGTCTGTCGGCCCAGAGGCGGGAGTATCCCCTGCACAGCCACGGCGGCGCCCACCGTCTTGGACCTTTGCCCGTACCTCACGGATGGGTTCTGGCAGGGCGCCATCTCCGGGACCCGGGAGCTATGAGGTGCCCGTAGTGGAGACTCCGAAGTTCTCGATGGGCATCCGGCGGATGGCCAGGATGCATCCCAAGGCGTCGCCGCAGTTGACGTATCCCGGGAGTCAAGCCAACAAAAAGATGGTCTACAGCTGCTGAAGCCGCAGCTTGCTCTCCTCTCGCTTGTGTCCATCATAGCTGTGCTATCCATTGTACATATATATGTGTGTGGCTGTCATCTTGGACTCTTGCATACTCGGGACTCCTCGCTTGGCCATGTGTACAAGTGCGACAGAAGTGTCAGAGCGTACTTTTTGGCGTTTTCTCTTCTCTTCGTGGCCGGGAGAGGGCAGACCTGTCAGATTTAGACAAAAGCGGAGCACGACCCGCTGGCAAAGCCAGCGTCGCTCGCGTGAAGTCCGCTCGAGATAGTGTTCAGGAAGGCAAGTCTCACAGCACAAAACTCAGGAGTGGGAGACATCTCTTTGGGACTTGAGTGAGTCATCTTATCTGGAGGGTGGTAACAGATTTCAGCACATTGGAGCTGGTCCTTTCCCCAGAAAGCCAAGCTGCGACAGAGTTGCGGTACCCTCTTGTCAAGACTGCCTTTCGCACCTTCTGTTCTCAACCTGAGTTCGTTTCGACCTTGCTCTTCACTCACATTCCGAGTTCTGAGAGCTCCCCACGCAGCACAGACCCGCAAAACGCACAGATGCCCAAACGAGGCGTCGTCTCCTCAGCACCACACGCCGGGGCCTTGAGCAGGGCATCGCAAGTTTGCTCAGCTCAGTGAGGAAACAAAGCTCTCATTTGCCAAGGGGCCGCCTTGATGACGTCAGCAACTGAAGCTCGCTCGCTCCGGGAAAGATGGAAGAAACATCCGGCAAACGGCCAACATCAAAATTAGAAGTTGGTAGCACTATCAATATGTTTCAGTACCAGCACCAATACGAACGAAAGCCAATGTCAACATCAATATCAACACGTACATACATGTGCACATACATACGTACATACATACATGCATGGCCAGCACATGTATAGAAGTAGTTTTGGCTGGCTAGAGTAACAAGAGACGGATGGGTAGAATAATGTGTCAGTAGATATAGGCTGAAGGCAAGCAGCCACCGATGTCATTGTTTGTCCAGCAGCGCGGCATGCAGCACTCCCAGCCAATTCCCTTGCGGAGCGAGAGCAAGACAGCACGCGCAAATCCTGATCGTGTATTATCCGCAGCCTTTGAATGGCTCCGAGCCATTCCTCGGTTGGCTTCCAAATGCAATGTTTTCAGTTCTCGCCGTGGCCTGAGCCCGCACCTGCTCATGGCGTGCGTTGTCGAGGAAGTCGGCGGTATGCAGAGACAGATCGCCTTGTCAGGTTCCTTTCATAACCGTCGTGCTCTGTGTTTTCGAAGCCTGGCCCCGAGAGTGATCCGGAGCGATGCGGAGACCGGAGTGCGGGAGATGGTCACATCTGCCCGCTCCGCCTCTTCCGAGGCCGGCGCGGTCGAGCGAACACGCACGCTCGTGAGGCCGGAATGAAAGTCTTTGAAAGTCTGCAAGCTCCGCAGCCATGCCTGCATATGCTGCATAAGCTAAGATTATGTGCTGCATGCATGCAAGTGTCCATGTAGGGAAGCAAGTAATTACGCGCACGAAGTAAGCATATGTATGTATGCATGCATGCATGTATGTATGTATGTATGTATGTATGTATGTATGTATGCATATGTATGTGTACACACGTCAATGTGTGTATAGATTTGCCATAACCTGCAGTGGGCTGTTACAGACAGCGCAGGCGGCATGGGGCCCTTGCCGAAGAGGCTGCAGAGCCTGGGGCTCGGCCTACAGAGTCCCAGCCTAATACATTATAGTAAACCACAACATATAGCATAGTGCAGCACGATACAATACTATAGTATACTATGCAATGCTATGCTCTACTCTACTCTACTCTACTCTACTCTACTCTACTATACTATACTATACTATACTATACTATACTATACTATTGGTTAGTATAGTATAATGTAATGTAATACAGCATAATGCAGCATAAAAGAATATGATATAAAGTAAGATAATACAATGCAATACGATATAACTAGTCTCTCTTCCATGTGCTACTTAGCCTAGGGCCTAAGGGCTTCGTGGCCTCGGCCGCACCCTGAGCCTAGTCTGAGCTTAGATTCTGTCTAAGGTAGAACCCATGGGCCCCTAGTATTGGCCCTTAACCCTGGGACCCTAATATACCTACTATATACTAGAATCCCCTAAGGGCCCATGTTAGGGGCCCATGGGTTCAACCTTAGATTCTGCGGCACATTCAGGACTTATCTGACGGAGCTGGACTCGGATGCCGAATCGGCAAGCCCCACCCAGGACCCCGCTGGGGGAAAGGGGGCTAAGCTGTTTCACTGATGCCGCCCCCGGGTTCGGCAGTGGCGAGGGTGAGAGTGGAAGCCTTGAAGCCGCCTTTAGCAGGTGGCCCTTCCGTGTAGTCTTGACCCTCTCATTCTTCTTCGACTTGCATCGAAGCACCTATGACGCCTTCTGAACTGTCCGTCAATGGTTGCGGATTCAAGTGAGGTGTCTGCGTTCCCAGCAGGTGGATCGGGGGTTGGCAGTCGGCATCCTTCTTTGGTCACTTCTATCTCGCTCGCGCTCGCTCTCTCTCTCTCTCTCTCTCGCTCTTGGTCTTTCTGTGCCTGTATGAGGAAACTCGGTATAGTGGTGATACGTTGTGCCCCGTTGATGCCTTTTCTTCGGTGACCTGTGCCCCTTTGCCAGTCACTCGTCAAATGAACTGTTCCACGAACTTGTCGCACCGAGCGGGTTTCCTTGTCCTTGTGCAGGCCAAAGCAAGCAAGTCATGGGCTACAGCCTCAGACTTTGAATTGCTTCTTCACTCGTGTAGGTGCAAGCTTTTGCCGTGGTGGCATGCTGCTGTCATTGCATCCCTAAACCACTACCGAGTTTCGAAAACAGGACGAGTCGAAATCCCACAGCGTTGCGACACAAGAGCACTATAGACTGAAGCCTGAACAATCACAGTTATCGTTGTTAGTACGTAGTGTTATAATACACTACAAGTATCACCCTGAAACTCTTTTTTGATTACGAGGCCCCTGTATTCAGTAAAGAGACCATGAACTGCTCAGGACTCGCTGCCGTGCCCTCCGCAGCAGTGTGTTGTGCCTAGGGCTACTGTAGCGGACATTTAGATTCGGGACCCCGGCAGGCACAAAATAGAAAATGTTGAGTCCTACCCACACGTTATGGGATAATTCTTGGCCAAAAAAGGATGAAGTTAATTTTTGTTTCTGGGCTCCTGAGCATTGGTACGGGGCAGGGGTTCAAGGCCGTCAGGGTTTAGGGTCTATGGTAGCTGGAATTGGCAAGGCGATAGGCATGTATGTATGTAGGCATGGTGTGTATGTATGTAGGTCCCTACGGAGGGTGGACACACATACTTGCACGCGTACGTATGTGTGTATGTATGTATGTATGTATGTATGTATGTATGTATGTATGTATGTATGTAAATACACATTTATAAATACGCATACAACGTACACTTATGTAGCTGTAACTAGCTACACATTTTTAAAAACATATCAGAGTTTTGTTACAGAACGAAACACGCACATATGTACATACATACATATATATATATATACATGTGTATGTATGTATATACATACAACGTACGTACGTACGTACACACACACNNATATATATATATATCCATGTATTTGCATGTATGTAGACATATTTTTGCTGTAGGTGTGTAAGTCTTGATTGTGTTGTGTTGTACCGTATCTTGTTGTATTGTATGCATGCGTGCATGTGTGTATGTGT